TGTTGGTTGTTGCTGGAATTTGAAGTATATTTACGATAGAGATAATTTCAATGCTATGTTTAACAATTACAAGTAACTTGAATTTGTCATTATTGATTAAAGTCAAGATATTTGGTCAAAATTAGGACAGAGGAGCAGTTGTGATAATGCTTATATGATGTAAGTCTGCTATATTGATCTTGGCTGCTTTCAAAGAAAAAAATTGACTCCTCTGTGAATAATATGCCATACATTCTAATAATTGGAATTACATGGTGACCATAGTGTCTGGAAGTGTTTGGAATTTAAGGTGAAATTCGTTGTAAAGCTATCGCCACTTTCCGATTATATTCTGTCAAGTTAGCTTGTGACGAATGTGAAATCCATGCTGCCAATCTAGATGACCTGCTAAGAATTCTGGTTATCTGACGGCATCATATTATTGCCCTTCTTGTGTGTGCAAGCACATGGTATAGTGTTATGCATGTTAAAATGTTAACCTTATCCTTTGTATCATTTCCTGATTTCAGCAATTGATAGTGGAGAAAGACTTGCAGCGCAAGTGACAAAATTCATTCATAAGTGGGGATGATCTTGAGGATGACTTCATGGCACAGGACTTTGAGTCAACAGACCAGGATGCTTCTGATGCAAAAGATGCTAAGAGAAAATAAAAAAAGAAACGAGGGAATTTTGAAGACTAAAAATTCTCTTACCCTGAACTTTATGAGTAGTATTCTGATCTGTGCTAACAGATGCCTGCTGTATTTCGAATAGTGCTGACGTTGCTATATTTCACAAATGCTCTATATCATTTGAAATATATTTATTTTCTCCCACTTTCAGAATTTGCTTCTTGAGAACTTGGTTTTTTTTTTTTTTCTTACCACCAACACGAATTCTTTTGATGTATTTTTATGTTTGGTCCTGTGTCAAATAACAGTGGGAATTTATTCGTTCTCCCTTGACATCATTTGAACTTGAATGAATTCTTTCAATATTGCATGTATTCATTTCTGGCCTTGCAAGACATTAGCATCCATCTCGGTTTTGCTCTTAATGTGATAATCGGGCTAATTAATAACTCATTAGCAATTTCGAGACGACATAATTAATTGTGGGACCTATTGTTGTCCATCTTACGTGATTTATTTTGTATAAAGATGATCAAAATCTATGGATAAGGGAAGAAGCTACAATATTTATACAGGTGCTGGAATTGTACAAAGGATATCGAAATGTACGAATAAAGCAAGGGGTTGCAGAATGTGGTATTATAATTTAAACTTCAGGCATGTTGGATTCTACTCTTTAATAGTAATTACATGAATTAATTAAGTCAAGCTTCTAGATTCACAGGCCTAAGCCAACCTCACCCAGCCGATGGAAAGAAGAAACGTCTAATTTGGTAGATGGCTGCATTGGGACTTTGGGAGGACATGCAGCGACCTTAATCTTGTTTTAGGTGTAGCAAACTGATGATAGAAGAAATAGGAGATATATACAGCTCTAGCACAAAACCTAAACTTCTATCAGGAAACCTGATGTAAGGGATAAAATGTGGAATGAAAGAAGAAAGTTTTACGCAAAAAAAATCAAAATGATAAATATAGGCAAACTGTTGTTGTGGACATGATTAGCCTTAGAAGCTTGGAGAGTTGTCTACCCTTGTTTTGCCCTCAATTTTCTCTTCACCACCGCATTTGACTCTCCTCTCAATATCTCCCCTGAATTAAGGATCTCTTCCTATCCTTCCCCATACTACATTTCTCTGTTTCTTCTTTTTCCTCCTCTTCATTTCTCATAGGACTTGTTTCTCTTTGGACGACGACAAAATGGTAAGGTCTCTTTTCCGCTGTTTCTCATCTTTTGAAGGATCATATTATTTGGATTTTCCAATATCATCTTTTTATTTTGATTTTCGTTTCATTAGTTATTGATTGGGAAAATCCAATTATGAGGCCATAGCAACTTTCCAGGGCCAATGATGTTTCATGTTATGTTATTATAACAACTTTTTTCTACAATTTTTAAGCAGGCGTATCAATTAGATTAGTGCAACGGTTGCAATCATCTTTAAACATTATCCCAGGTTTTCTGTTTGATTTAGAAATTACAGACAGATAGTTTTATTCATATATTTCTTGTTTTCTTTTCATATGTCGGAACTAAAATTTTGGATTAGGCGAACTCGGCATCTGGAATGGCTGTGCATGATGAATGTAAGCTGAAATTCTTGGAGCTAAAAGCAAAGAGGAACTACCGGTTCATTACTTTCAAGATTCTGAACCAACAGGTGGTGGTAGACAAACTTGGCAGCCCTGAAGAAACCTATGACGATTTCACAGCATCTTTACCGGCCGATGAGTGCCGCTATGCTGTCTTTGATTTTGATTTTACTACGGCTGAGAACTGCCAGAAAAGCAAAATTTTCTTCATTGCATGGTAACCACCCTATTTATTTTTCTCCCACATTAATCTACCTCTACGCCACTCACTAGACATAGGTTGAAACAGTCAAATTTTGTCACATAAAAACTTTAGGCTAAAAGCTGACTCCTGTTTGAATGAATCTTTTTTCTCTGTTTGAGTCATGAAAAACATGTAGAATAAAAGAATTTTCAAGGACGTAAAAATTTAAAAAGAAAGAAAGGCCACTCCTATCCTGTTATTTGGATTGCGAAATGCTGCTTCAATTGATGAAATGTAAAGTGAAAATGATGTATAAGAGTCCAATATGAAAAGGGCTTTTTTTTTTTTCTCTTTTTCAAGCCAAAAACAAGAGAAAAAAAGAAGGATGGGGGTCTTGTCTGTCTTTCTCATTTTTCTTCAAGTTTTTTGCAGGTCACCCGATACATCAAAGGTGAGAAGTAAGATGGTGTATGCCAGCACTAAAGACAGATTCAAGAGGGAATTGGATGGCATTCAAGTTGAGTTGCAGGCAACAGATCCTAGTGAAATGAGCTTTGACATTATAAAAGGCCGGGCGCTGTAAACGCTATTCTTGCGTTTTTCTTCTCCAAACATTCACTCTGTTCTAAGCATTACCATTTGTGAGCATTGCTTATTTGTATTTTTAAGAAAATTTTCTTCTCTTAAAACATTTTCACCTTTTGCTGTGTGGGTTTTTTACAATTGACTGTGCAGTTTTAATGTACTAATATTATCCATACCTTTATGCTAAATACATTTTCAATCATTTCTATTTCATCTTAGATATATGAATAGTTGATAGAAATATTAGTAATAGAGTAAAAGAGTGTGAGCACCAACAAAGAATAACAAACATGCCTCATTTCCTCAAATTTGTGATAATCGAGGTTTAAATCCTGCATATGGAAACGAAAATTTCATTGCAAAAGCAAATTAATGTTGAATTTTCCAAAGAGAATATAATACTAGGAGTTCATTGAACTACTGGGTCCTTCCTCTTTTGCTTATCCATCACCTAACCCCACTTTCTGTGGCAAGCTTTGAGAGTTAAAGCCAGACGCTAGCCTACTAGTAATTTCTCAGCAACAAGCATGGTGCAGTTTTCTGAGTTCCTGTCTCTCTCTCTCTGAGTGCAATGATATATTTTTGGAATCACTTCTCAAATATGATTGAGAAACTGTTGAATCCTATTCCGTTGTGGTTACCTTGTGCATTTAATCCGCACTGTTCTGTTCATGCCAAAATTCAAGCTTCAATGGTTTGACTATCAAGATAAAAATCCATCTGGGTCCCTCCTTTTCAATTGGAATACATTGAAATGGAGTCTTGAAAATTTGGAAAACAATTTCCTCAATGGCTTTCCGATGCTAGCATCTAGGATACCGTGCCAAAATGGATTAAGGACATGAATATCTACTAACTGGACCTCTCCCACAAACGGATTATGGGAACCCTGCCAGTATTTCCGTCCAGCTTGAAGCACTCAGATCTCTCCAGTAACTGAATCTCCTGTGCCTTTCCCAAAATTATTGGTGATATGTTGCCTGTATCGAAGCATTTGATTCTTTCTGACAACCTTTTGAACAGTTCAATTCCAAACTCGTTGTGCCGTATTAAAACTCTAATAGTTCTAGAACTCTTAAAAAATGCCTTGTCCGGAAATATTCCTGACTGCTGTAGAGACCATCAAGACATTGAAGTTTTAGATCTATCATCTAACAATCTCGAAGGTGTTATTCGAGCACTATTGGGCATCTTGATTTGCTAAGATGGTTGGACTTGAGCAACAATAATCTCAATGAAGAGCCACCATTGCGCTTACAAATTGCACATCTCTTAGATTTTTGGATTTAGGTGAGAATGCATTCTTTGGAAGTGTACCTAAATGGATTGGGGATAGCTTTGGTTCCTAAGAGTTCTCAGGTTACGAGAAAAGAAAATAAAGGTAGTATCCCTTCGCAACTCTGCCAACTCGCTACTGACCTGCGAATGCTTGATCTTGCAGAAAATAATCTCAAAGGGAGGATACCTTATTGTTTTGACAACTTAACTGGCATGGTCCTTCCCCAGACAGATGTCACTAGTTTTGAAAGCTATAAATACTTGCTAGGTTGGGATGAGGAGCACTTAGCATGGGTCATGAATGGAAGATTCCTCGAATACACATTACCTTGTTGCTTTTGGTTAATTCAGGACAAATCCCTGAAGAGCTAACTTTCCTCACAGGGTTAATTGCTCTGAATTTGTCTCATAACCAGTTATAGGGAATGATGCCAAATTAGATATATAGGGGAACTTGAGATGCTGGAATCTCCCGACTTGTCAGTAATTGAACTTTCTGGCGTGATACCAAGTAGTCAAGTACGTCAACTTTAACTAAACTAAGTCACCTCAACTTGGTCATACAATAACTTCTCAGGACAATTTCCAAATGACAATGAACTCCAAATTCTTTATGATCCATCCATTTGTGCGGTAACCCCCTACTCTGTGGCGCTTCACTATTAAAGAAATGCTTGGATGATTAGCCTCATCAAGGCAACAAATTAGACAATGGTATTACATTTTAGTATTTGAACTTCATTCCATTTTGTGTTACGTATGATGGATTTCAATTTGATAAATGGGATTCAGTTTCTATTACTCGTTCTTAGTAACACTGATGCACAAACATAATGCTGATGTCCAATGATCAGTTCCTTGGATCTCCAGAAATTTCTCTTTTTCTTGGTTATATAATTACAACCAGAAATTTCAAATGTTATACATAAAATGTGATGATAGCACCTGAAATATGGTAAATTATTGATAATGATACATTGTCTTATTAGTATTTTTTTCCTGTTAATATTAGCTTTGATGCAAGAATACATTCCGGATCTGTTTCGAATAAGTATGAAAGAATATCCTTTCCTGGACTGCTTATTTTTGCTTTTCCCAAAATTCCTTCTCCAATTCCTCTACTTGCTTTATTGAATTCTCCTTTTTACTAAGCAAGGCATAAAGAGATGGGGGATCATAAGGTGGAGGCATGGTGCATGGACTTGTAACTGAGGGACCCTTCACCATTGATTCCATCATGAACTCCTTCTTTAATCCTTCCGCTGGACAAGCCATTGTTTCCGAACACAATTCAACGGCTTTTCTAGGTATGGTGGGCTTAAATCTTAAGAGTTTAGCATACTCATTTAAAAGATGAAACATATAATCATACACGAAGTCCATCTTCAATTCCTCTTTAATAAACTCACTCGCGGCCTTCCCTATGGCCTGTGCCTGATGAAACAAAATGAAAATAATGGAATGAGGAAAAAAACAGTTAGAAAATGAAGTAATACATACAAAAACAATTCAGATCATTTTCATCATTTTGATGGGAGAATTTTAAGTTGTAGTATCAATTGCATTCTCATGTAATCTAACAATTATGCAACTTGAACCCTGCTACAGCTCTCAGATTAGTGAGCAAGAACCTCCCATTTTATTATACTCATGGCAGAGCCGAACAAGTTGCTACGAGGTTACCTCTTCCTGATGGCTGTTGCCCCAGTCAACTGCATGCTTGATAGATCTGCACTTGTCATTAGCCTTGATGGGCCAATAATGCTCCATTGGCTCCAAACTTCTGGTGAAAAAATCATAGTACCGGGGTTTTACCAGTAAGGTAACAGAATCACAAGCTAGAATGTATTTTTCACTGACAGACCATGCCGACCCTTCAACATAGATCTTAAACCTGCATGAATTATACATGCATTCAGAAAAAAAAAAGGCATGAATATATAACAGAATAAGTACTAATTAAAGAAGTAATTCAAATTTACGTACAACAAATAAATAAATAAAAGGTGAAAAACTTGATCTTTAACCTATGTACACATTGGTTTGCCAGATTTGATTGCTTGAACCCTTGCCGTGATTCTCGTCCCCAATCCTGCCAATAGTTTCCTACGATTAGATTGAATAACTGCTACATCCCTGTTTGTTAGCTTACTTTAAAAAAATGTTTCTCTATCCCTATTAATCCCAATTAAATTGTCACACTTTTTTTTTGGTCAAAATTTTCTAATTTGATCATTATTATTTTAAATATTTTAATCAATTAAATTTTATAAAACATATATTTAAAAACTTTTTCATTCAAAGTTTTTAAAATATATTTTTTTTACATTTTTATCATCAATAAATACATAAATAACATGAGGTTAAAATTTAAACTTTTAATAAAAACATCAAAATATGACAATTTAAAAGCAACGGATGGAATAATTGTAGATGTTGTTTAATGAAATCATTATTGGAAAATTAATCCTAGATGAAATAAACTTTTGATTATTTAGACAAAATTAAAAGAATAATAAAAATATATGTTAAATTGTAAAGAAGAGAAAAATGTGAAATAATTATACATATTTTTTTTGTGTAAAAAACTTACACATTTTTATAATGGAAAAAATTTTAAAAAAAAGTGAATTTTAAAATTAAATTTTCTCTTTGAAAAAAAAATGTAAATTGCTGTTATAATATTATAAAACAAATATATTTTTTATTTATTTTTCCTATCAATTTTTTAATAGAATTAGATTCTATTACATCGTGATACTAAAATAAACTAGGGAATAATGAATATTCCAATGAAAATAAAAGTGGAAGCACCTGGGCATAGACACGAGCACCCCAGTCCCGTTTGTCAGAAACGTTGCATTTGAGGAGGCGTTGCCTGGTTATGGCAACATTGGGATTCCCTTTCCAGTAAGCATAAGGCTCCCTTTCGTCCCATCTCATTCTTTTGTTGCCTTCCTTCAGCTCATTTAACAACGGCACCCACGACTTTATGCGAATCTCAGGCCTGATACACGCAAATCATACGAATGATTATCATGTAAAAGCATTTTTCACCAATTACATCAAAGATTAAAAAAGGGTCTCACCATCCCCAGAAGGACCAGTCCGGAAAAACGATATCTAGTGTTCGGTCATCTTTGCAGTAACGGAACAAAGGAGGTGGGGTCGTGGCATTGGGCCCACCATAGTCGTTTGACTTGATGACCGGCCAGTCGACACAATCAAACATGAGATCCAAATCCGGTATTTTTCCTGCATACTTCCTTAACAACTGTATGATCCCCCACAGCGTGAAAACATCCCTTGTCTGAAACGACCTATGATATTTCTCCACGTAAGCCCTCCCGTTTACTATTACCAATCTGAAATTAGCCGTTCTCTTGGCCCTCTCCAGCATGCCCAGTGTGATCCCCGTGTACGCCCATGGCCTCAGATCTTCATGGATCCAACGGAAGTAATCTGGACACGTTGTATTTATATTTAAATTACTGTCTGGATCTTCCTCGGTGGTTTTAGGGTAGTTTGTGGGGCAGGATCGTGTGAGATGAAGTGCAGTGCAGTTAAGTGGGATTTCTATTTGCTGTCGGGCCTTTTTGGGGGTTTCACCTCTTGTTCCTGTAGTTAGCATGGGCTTCTGCACCAATCCACCAACAAAAGTCTGCAAGCCGACAGCGCCCCCATTAGAGAAAGGGTAGTGAGTAGCATAGGCGGAGCTGCCAAGGATCCATTTGGATCCCCGTATCTCGCGCAATGTGATTAGACGCGATTATCACTTTTACGCCATTTGGATAAGAACCGTACCACTGAGGTTAAAAATTTTGAAATTGTGTTTTTTAGATAAAATTCAAAGAGTGTTCATCGATCCAATTTATTTGATGTTGACATTAACGTTAATTTTATTAATTATCATTGTTCCAATAAAAAAAATCATTTTCACCTATGAATACTTTGAAAAACTCATTTGATTAATATTTAAATGATATATTAATTTTGTCTATTAAATGAATATATTCGAATAACAAAATTATTATGCAATCTTTTCAAAATATGAAATACCATTGTTAGAATTTTAACAATTATGATTAGATATAAAAATTTTAATATCTAATTATTTATTTTTTATATATTTTAATATATTTCAACTAAGCCCCACTCAATAAAATTTATGACTCTGCACTACTTGACCAAACAAATTGCATATCAAAGGTGATAGCATTAAATACTAGTTTGTTTTTTATTTGGAAACAAATGAGGAAATCAAATTCAATTCTTTGTAAACACTAAATTTAAATACTAAATTTCATTAACATAAATAATGAAATTAGATTCCACTTTAATAACATCATGTTGAAGGGAGGGACCAAAGGTTTCAAATATAGTTAAAAAAGAGTTTAGTTTGTGAAATTTAATGTTTTTCTTAAAAATTTTATTTTTTAATGTGATTTTTGCGTTAGGTTCATTGAATTTAAAATTTTTTTAGAATCTAACATTTTCCATAATGCCAAGAAGAGAAAAAAACAACCTAAAATTAGAAATCTTTCTTCCATTAAGACTTTTTAAATTTCGGATTGAAAGCAAAATTTTCTCCCCTTTATCATGAGCAATTGGTCTTAATGGTTTATTTATTATACCTTTTAATATAAAAAAAAATATATCATAAATCAAAAGCCAACTGACACATGAAAGGCATTCGAAACCCTAAAATTTGGCATCTGACAATGTATAGAGATAAATTTTATTTTTACAAAATAATATGAACTCCTATTATTAATATAGATGTGTATGACCTTTCTAAAACTGATAGCAGACTTGCAAGGATGCAAACACAAACCGACCGGTGTGGCAATTCCAAAGTAGTAGATTATGCAGAGGGGTAGGTGAATTTTGGCTGAAAGTTACGACTCTCCCTAAAAAGATTTTCTCTTTGGCTCTAAAAAGGTTGAAAATCAAACTACTTTTATTGGAAAGGAGTGCGCAGTCACCGACGTCAACATACATGGTAGGTGCTTGGACCAACAAAAGGTGGTGATCTCTCTTCATTTTTGTTTTTGGAATGAAAGGAAAAACCAAGGCTAGAATTTGGTCACGGCCGTGAAATGGGTTTTGATTTTCTTGGATTTTAGCTCAAGTTTTAGGATTAAAAAATATGGAAGGAAAGAGAGAGAAAAGGAGGAAGTGTTGACATGGGTGGGAGGTTTAATGGAGGAAACTAGGAGAGAAGAAGAGATGAGGAACAATAGAGGTCATAAATTTGACGATTGCTATTGTCTTTTATATTTTTTACGATATTTTTAGTAAAAAATGTATTAGATGACGTTTTAAGTAAATAACTGTAGTATTTTATTAATGAATAATTTTTTAAAAAACTAATTTTTATATATTTATTTTAAAAAATAATATTTATTAATTAATAAAATGATATTATTTAATTTATTAATAATATATAAAATTTATATATTAAAAATATATCAAATATAAACTCATATTTTATTTTTTAACATTATGTTTGAAATTTTTAACCATCATTTTTTTGTGTTAAATAAAAAAAAATATAAAATTTATATATAAATAATTTAAAAATAAATAAAATAAATTACACATTATATAAATATAAAAATTAAATTAATTAAATTATTTACAAATTAAATAAATATATTATGAAATTATTAATTACAAAAGTTCTTTAAATAATTTTATATATATAATATATATTATTTATATGTCATTAAAGATAGTATAATAAAATAATTTTTTAAATAATTTTAAATTTCTTAAATTAAACATAAAAATTTTATATTTTTTAGAATCAACAAAATACAAAAATCATCGATTCGTTTTAAATATCACTTTTTTACAAAATTATTTTTTAAAATTTAAAAATCCAAAAACCAAAAGTGCAAATTTAGGTTTAAACATGATTAATTCTAAATCACAAAAACATGCTTTTGTCTTTTTTGTTTTCTTTTTTCTCCGCATTTATGTGGCTGAAATATTGAAGCCTAAGTATCGGAAAAACCACTTGTCATCCCAATGGCCAAGCAAATTATAAAGGACAGGTAAAACAAGTCATAAGAAAGTGGGAAACAAAAAAACACAAGAAAGGTCCCATAGCCAGCACATGAAAGTGATCAAAGCCATAACACGCCTCCCAAATCAATGATTTCTGGGATGAATTTTTTAGCCTACACCTAATTATGCCTTCCAATCGTTCTTCTCAATTAATTCTTTTATTCTTAACTACGCATATGCGCTGCGCTTAAAGCTACGTCGTTTTGACGGCGTGAGAAAATGCGTCTTCTTTTTGGTAATAACCGTAATATAAACTCTTTTTTTACGAGTCAATTTCGTGCTAACTAAATAATGCAGGAAAGTTATTATGGTAGTAATAATATAATAATATTAATATTTTATTACTTACAGTGGTGTCAAGCAAACTCGTGGAGACCAACGCGCCGATGAGTATTACGATGAAGACGATGAATATAGCTGAGGATCTCGCTGATGATTTCACGGAAGGCCGCCGGACGGTTTCCGTGAATTGACTGAAGAGCCCGGCCGATCCATTCTCCTGTTGCATGTTGTTTCCTCTTGTGTCGATATTCATCTCTAATTTCTATCTCCCTCCGTTGCGAGACTTCTGGTATAACCAACTGCTTCTGTCTAGTCTCTTTGAAGACCGATAGAGACTCTATTCTGAAGATTTCATCAGATAGGGTAGCTCATTTTCTGGTGGAAAATTGGCAGCAAAGAAAAGTCGATGAACCTGGAAAGTGTGTTCCGGGGCTTTACTTGAGTTTCTCAGCTCTGTTATACTTGGAGAAATTAATAAGAGAGAACTGGGAACCTGATGTAATATCTGTTGTACTCGTGGTGGAGTACGAAGGTATTTCAGTGGAAACGTGCCGTACTTTAGGCTTAGGTCAGCAAAAGAGGTGATGAATTGAAAAAGGTTAAGGTTTTTTAGTAGTACTTGGGGGTTCGGATAAAAGAAAATGAAGAAAGAAGAGAAAAATATAATGATATTAATGCTACAAAAAAGGTAGGAACCAGGAAAGGAAAAGTTTCAAATAGAGGAGTTCGAACGGAAGATAGAGGAGAGTAAAGGGAGTGAGGGATCAAGAGAGAGAGAGAGAAAAGAGAATAAAAGAGTTACAGACAGAGCCTGAGGGGTGGACTGAGCTCGTGAGAAAGCATGCGCAGCTATGTTCTTTAAATTTTTGTTTTAAGGTCAGAATTCAGAAACTTGGTGAAAGAACGAAGGTGCCAAGGGGTTTCTCAAACTTTTCCCAAGCAGAAGCAGTGAAGTGGAATTGAAAGAACAAAAGTACAAAAGTAAAAGCCGAAAGTGTGGCGGTAGTGGAGTGCACTTCCTACTTTTAGCGGTTTCTAACCTGAATTCAGTGGTTCACATGTACATTAATTTTTGCTTCTTTCTTTGCCCATTGGAGTTGTGTCTTAGGCTTTTGTTTTTGACATATTCATACCTTAACTCTTTACCTCTCATATTGCAATCGGAAATAAAATCCGTCTAAAACAAGAAAATTATTAATTATTCATACTACAATCATCAGTTTTTCAGTTTCTAATAGGTTGTTGGAGCAAATCAAGTAATCAATCAAATTCCTTTAATTAATTCATAACCTAACTAAATTTATGAGAATGAAATAGGTACCTGTTTCCTTTGATACAATTGATCAAGGTATATTTAACAATTACCAACATTTTTTATAGGATTAGCAACAATTTTTTTTATAATTAGAAAAAATTATTCCTACTACTTTTTTTCCAAAACGAAAATATAATTTAAAAATTAATAACATAATTATTTTGAATAAAAAGGAATACTGTATACACGGAGTGAAGTTCAATATATATGAAGGATTTAAGTTTAGAAGTTATCAATATGATAATTTAATAAAATTTTAAAATTTTAATTTTAATATAATAAAATTTATTTTTTAATCACTTCAAATAAAAAATAAAAAATTCTTATTTTAAAGTTCATGGCACAAATTCTTCGTTGCAAGATGGTGCTTGTAATTATCAAAAGTTCCATCCAACAGTCATCTCCCTAAGCTTTCAGCTTTCTTTTTCAATTATTTGTTTTTCTTATTTTTACTTTTAGTCGGCATATGCCCAAGGAAGTGGAACTAGGTGCCAGGTGGAGAGCAGAGAGCTAAATAAAGAAACGAAAATCAAGAGTGGCACATGGCTTTCAGGCCCAGCCTAGGGATCCGATTTTGAATATTCTTCTACTCTTCCTATAGGGACATCACGGCCCGAGTATAAATCTCGTTTTTACTGAGTTTTTGTTAGGTTGCGGACCAAGTTTGCATGCTCATGTCTGCCCTCTAATCTTGTGGGGTACCCAAAATCTCTAAATAGATAGGGATAGACCAAGCGACCAACCAACCAGTGACATTGTTATTGGTCCCTGTCTACTTGAGCAACCCAAAGTTGTGGGCTTCAGATTGCTTACTTGCCCGAGACTGCGTTTAACTTCTGATGAAGCTCGAGCGTATAACCTACCTGCCAGATATTCGACATTCAGTTGAAATTACTCAACTGAACGTTGGGATTAAGATGGGAACAATGTGTCGGGGATAATGATTATTTTGGGTTTGATTTGTTAACAAAATTCTGGGGATTTGGGAGAAAATGTGAAACAAAAAGTCTAGAGAAAGGTTTTATTTGGTGTATTCCGTAATATTTGTGGCACATGAGTTGCACTTGCACATCACGATGGCACTAAGGTTGCAGCATGATACAAAAAGTGAGTCTAATGTAATGGTGTTTCTATATTCCAATGTAATCGGTGGGATTGTCAGCATGAAAGCTTTTTTCTTTTTGCCCTTGAAAAACATCATAATTATGATCATTATGCTACCAAACAAGCCTAACAAATTATACCATAAAATTTCCTTTTATCATTTTGAAGAGACTAACATGTTTTTTCATCTTTCTTTATGTCTACTTCTAATATTTTGCAGCTTCTATCAATGACGAGTGTTAACCTAAGCAAATTCATAAACAACATTATGGTGATCATTGATATCACTACCATGAAAAACTTCAGATAAATAATCCAATGGTGACAAATATCTTCAGCTTTAGATTGTAAGGTCCACCATATCTGTAGAAAAATCATAAGATAAAGAGATATTTAGGTTGGGATAAGAGCAGAGTACCCAAAGTTGCATTTTGACTACCCCTTGTCCATTTGGAAGCTTAGGTCACAGCGGATCCTTGTGTTACTATCAAAATTCAAAACCCTTTTTTTGTTGGTAGAAGAGCAGATTCAGTTCTTTACTTTGAGAATTTCCCTTTTGCAGCGTCAAAGGTAATTCAGTAAAGCCGACTTGGTTTTTATGTTAGTTTCTGCTTTATGTTCACTGTAAACAGAGTCGCAGACCTCAACACAAAAGGATATAAAAAAGAAAAACTACTCTCCTTTAGAGCACGTCTGCAACTTTGAAACTTGAGTGGGTAGTTAACTTTGAGTCGAAATTCAAGGAAACAATACAAATTGTGGACGACAGTGGAAGAATTTTAAGAAAACATGTTGAAACAACTGAATTTAGAAATAGAAACAGAAACATAGTTAAGTAATTAAGTACATGGGACCTACATGTAAATGGGGGCATCGTATTTGTTTTTGCCCTTGATTTGAGAGTGTCATTAATCATTTCAAAGGGAACGTGGCATTTTACATTGGTATTGAGACAGAAAGTCACGCTTTCACAATCGCACGCGTGAACCTTCTCTCAATGCCCTCACTTATCAGAACCCAAGGCTCCTTCATCAGAGACCTTAAAAACCCCAGACTCAGCCCCCTGCTTGCACTTGCAAACGTAGAGCTCTTGTTTCTTCACCATACCGTCTCGCATCTTGAAAGCTTATACAACTATGTCTGCGGTGAGTTCCCTCTGTACCTTTCTCTCTCACAAGCACACACCAAGCCACAAACTAAAATTAGAAATGTAGAAATAAGATTCTAATAATGTGGATATATATATATATATATATGTATGTAGAGCAGATGCTGGAAGTCAGAGTTCCAAACCTGGATTGTCAGGGCTGCGCTTCCAGGTTAAAGAAAGCTCTCTTCAAGCTCAAAGGTACATTTTACATTTTCTCAAATCAAAGGTACTTTTAATTAGGTCCTCCTATTCCTCTTTTCCATTGATTTTGCCTTCCTTTTTCTCTTTATTAATTCTATAAATTTTACAAGCAATTGCCTAATTGGAACGACAATTACTACATAGATAAAAAGCCTTTGACAGAGATGCATTTATACCATGTATTATGGAGTGTAGTCGGTTGCTGCTATATGGTGCTTAATTGGGTGTTCATGCTTAATAGCTTAACGTACTATGAGCTTTGAAAGATAACGTGAGCAAGGCCGAAGTATAGCTTTTTCGGGTTTTTAGTCCTTTCCCTTTTTGAAGTCGAGAATGTTGAATATGGCGGGCCATTGTGTCACAGTCTTTCCAATAATTGGCCAGATCTGGTAAAAAGGGAACAATGGGCTTCCTCCAGCTCTATCAGTTCCCTTTTAATATTTTACACCCAAAATATTTGGACCCAACCAGGAATTGCTCTGGGCTCAGCCTCTGCTATATAACTAACTTGGGCTTTTTTATATATTTTAGGGGTTGAAGAAGTGGAAGCAGAAATGGATATCCAAAAAATCACAGTCCGAGGCTATGCGCTGGAAGAGAAGAAGGTGCTCAAAACTATTAAACGCGCGGGGAAATCAGCAGAGCCATGGCCATTTCCAGTATACTCCCACTACACCTCATTTTACAAGTATCCATCCCATATAGTGAGCCATTACTACGAATCTTACAGAAATGAAGCTTCCAATGGAGTTCATACTTTCTTCCACACCCCAGCTATTTATTCGGTTGCCGTGGCATCTGATGAGGCCGTTGCTTCACTTTTCAGTGACGATAATCCACATGCTTGCTCTATCATGTGAACATATTGCAACCTTTTCTCATTTTTTTTTTAAAATTTTCTTTCAATTTTATAGTTGGAATGACGTGTGCTAAATTCCATTTTGTTTGAGTTCTGCTTGCTATTGAGTGTTTGCCAAATATGATTAGAACATGAAATTTAGGTAGAATTTATTGACTCACTATTGCTTTTAGTTTCACCCAAAAAAAATTAAAAACTCAAAACTAAAAGGATTTCTTTAGCGACTATTTGCGTATCTATTGCACTTCAATTTGAAACCTAATGCAAATATAATGTATAGTATAAAAGGTAGCAATTGGATTAGCAATAGAGTTGAACCATTGTGAACCACTTCGATTACAAGTCATTAATTAACTTTCCAACTAGCTAAACTCGTATGGGAATACTTAAATGTTTTCCAGGCTTTTACAATTTAACTCAGGTCAAGTTTTACCACTTGAATATGATTTGGGCGGTGGCTTTTGCATGGAGAGGATAGGGCTGACCTGGAAGAGGAGATAAGTCAAAAATCATCCCCACTTCGATCCGTCGTTGGTACTTTTGAATAGGAATCTTGAAAAGCATGACAACGAAAGCCGCCCCTTTCGAAAGGATGACCTGTCCAATTTGTCCACAACCCAACTTTTGCCGTCATTCTCCACAAATTTTGAAAAGACAAAAAAAAAAAAAGACAATAACAAGTAGAGAGTGCGAACCAAATTTTTGGACCACGGAATGTACATTACATGCTCCATAACAATTTGTTTTGGTGTTTATTCAGTAAAGAAAGTAATTTCGAAATATACAATTTTCATAATAAGTTATCAATGATTTAATCATTAAAATTATTTGTTTCAAGCTAAGTGATTTTGAACTCTAGTTCTATTTATGATTTTTCTTGGTATTATTTAAATGAAAAAAGTGATTTCGAAAATATAAATTTTTCATTTGTGTACTTGTGTCTTAAATTGGCCTTAACAGAGAAGTAACCGTCTATTAGCTTCTTTACGGTGGCAGCTTGTTTGGAGATGTTGGGCACTTTTGATATGTTGCAGGTTCATTTCATACTCTATTTTTGTTGTTCATATGCTTTTTTTTTTTTTTTGGGTGATGGAATATTTGGTCTGACCTTATATTGAAAATTTTTTTCATATGCTACTCCAGATTCATGTATGTTTTAAGCTCTTGATAATGTTCGGACATTAGAATGTTGGAAAATAATTGGTTTTTTTTTATCAAATTTTTAAACTTTGGTTTCTATTATTTTAAATATTTTAATTAATTAACATATACAAAAATAAACGAGAATCTGCTTGTATTGATCTCTTTCATATGTTTTAGGAGTCTGGTTTGTTTTTGTCGTGCATAGTTAGAGTTAGTTATAAGAAATATATAATTCTTTTAGAGGACAAAAGTTGGTACGTTACATCAAAAAGTAAAGCTTCTGGTCCACGATCTGTGACTTCTTTGAAAAGAAATTTTCATTTAAATGTATTTAAAAATTGATGATAAGGTTTAATCTTCTTTGGGCAATAAATGGTTAGTATAACTTACAAACTTGGAACTGCGAGTCTAGAGGCGATGAATTTGCCACCCATATGATTTTCGAGAAGTAAAAAAAGAGGGAAAAAGAATGTCAATCAAGTGGCTGAAAATACTCATCAAGCAAATATTTGTTTTGGCAATTGACAACAATTGGCTATGTGGCCAGAAACCATACATAACAATCATCCACTTGAAGCTCAAAGATGTGACTAACCTTAAACAAAAGGCTTACCTAATCAGGTAATCAGGCAGAGGACATCCTCCAATATCACTCTTTGTAAAGGCGAACTGGTCCTTGAGTATTCATTTCATTTGCCTATTTGCTCAAGCTTCACATTATTCCCTCGCACCAAAATGGCTCAGGTGATTTTCTCTTTGTTCTATATTATTCTACTACTAGTAATGTTTATTTTCATGTTGATGTTCTGTTTTTTTTCCCTCATTTCTGTCTTATGTTTGCTGTTCTAGCAGAAGGTGGTCCTCAAAGTTCTAACCATGACTGATGACAAGACCAAGCAAAAAGCAATAGAAGCTGCTGCAGACATTTTTGGTATTTTACCATACAACCTGCTAACATTATTAAGACTTGTCAGCTTAATCTTTATCAAAATTAAGATCTAGAATGTCTTTTGAGTCATGATTAATGGGGTGTTCCTTTTTTTTTCCTTTAACTTTTTAGTCTAATAATAAAAGCTTCTGGATCCTTGCTTACCCTTTTATACATGTGTCACAAATCAAAGCAATTAGAGCAGATGATATGACAAATTTTACTACTTTTCTCCTTTTATTGCAAGTTTGTTTATGTTAAAATAATGGCTGCCAGGAGTTGATTCAATCGCGGCGGATCTAAAGGATCAGAATCTGACAGTGATAGGACAAATGGATGCAGTGGCAATAGTGAAGAAGTTGAAGAAAGTAGGCAAAGTGGACATACTGTCAGTTGGACCTGCCAAAGAAGAAAAGAAAGAGGAGAATAATGGGGAGAAAGAAGAGAAGAAAGAGGAAAATGAAGCAGAAAAGAAGGAAGATAATAAATAAAAATTAAACAAAGAACCCGTCCTCTCAGCAAATAATGCTTACTTCTCCTTTTACGTTTTTTTTCAGAAATAAGGTTTTGAGAATTGCAGTGGTATAATTTCTGCAACTCTCTGTCAGCTAAAAAAAAAGTTAATTCAAGCACAATCAATGAGCTATGTGAAACGGTTTTTGGTTTACGAAAGTGTTATGAGCAAAAATAAAATGGATCATGTGGGCTGGAATATAGTCCATTTATTTTGGCTGTTAACCGTTTCTGTTGAGAGTGAGCAAGATAGTTATTGTATGGGAATTGATAACTGGGTGAATATGATTGTTATATAAATTATACGGACAGTTTGTACAAATCAGTGAAGGAATTACAACAATTTCTTCAATTTTAAAAAAATTCTCTTCTCTTCTCTATTCTTTTCTCTCTCTTTCTCTTCCTTGTCTTTTATTCTTCGTTCATAAGACTGCTTCAAAGAGTTCGCATGCAGAGTATAGTTAGATGTTGATTGTCAGGTAATGTAATTTTTAGCTTCCCAGCAAAAATTATTTTTATGCAGATTGGATTATGAAAGAATCGCCGGTTTTGTCTTAGTCAACAAATTGAAATTACAAAGAAATAAGTTTGGCTTTCATTAAAAAAAAAAAAAAAAACGTAAGTTTGGGTCACCAGTTTCCTTCCTCTTGTAAAAGCCCAGTCAGGTGGATTGATGAAGATTCAGATGAAACTTTTTGATGCAAGCTATTGCTATCCACTTGATCTCATATACCAATAGGAAGTACGTAGCATTGACATTCGCCAGATATTCAAGTTTTCCACACGAGACAAAAAAAAAAAACCTGCAATGTCTCACTGCTATATGTGTAAGTGATGACCCTGGTTTCAAAACCATAACCCCGCTGAGTTTTGAATACTTGGGGATGAAGGATTCTGCTCAATATGTTCCCAATCCTGTAAAGTAACATACAACCTCCACAGCAAAACAATGATATGCCTTGGTTACAGGAGAAATTGCCACGTCGAAAATTCAAACTAAGCTACATATTTTAGCATGAACATGTCTTATTATTGTTGTCAGTGCCACTGTCAGACCTCAGCAGGGTGAAAAACTGAAAAAGAATAAAAAGAATGACCATCTAACAGGAGACCAAGAATATACAAGACTGATCCTTGTAAAAGCTAGCAATTTGAACCTTTGAGCAGGTTCCTTGTAAAAGCTTATCAAGTCCCTGGACTGGAAGTCAACTACAAAAAGGTATCTTCAATCTTCTTCTCTTAAGTGAAAGCCTGGGACTACATGAGGATAGAGCAGTGAACTTGAGGAGGGCCAAATGTCGTAATTGTAGATGCTTGCAGAAAGGCATCAAACGCTTAATGTAATCTAAAGAAAGGGAAACAAAGTCAAAAACACTTAACTGTGGTGGAAGCCTGAAGGCCCTCGTTTGTGTTCAACCTAACCACGCAATTCTCCTCCCTTGTCGCAATACCTAAAGCTAAAAACTAAAAACTTATTCAAATGAGACGTTCTACATTCTAATGAAGGATGGTGATGAATTACCATCGCAAAATTGAAACCAATAACTTCAACTAGGGATCAATGACATGTTAAACATAACCCCACAAAGACAATCACTAATACTAGCTGCAGATGCCATTCTGTCTTCTGTCGGGTCATTTAAGATTTTCACCTTCCTAGGTTGCACTAAATCTGACACAAGCAAAATTGGAATTCAGCAAGAATGTCATCAAGGACAGCAGCTTTGTAAGCCTAGAGACACTGCACAGGTTACAAATGGAATGAAAATCAGACATGAAAATGGAATTATAGGAACCGCAGAGGCTAGAAGTCTTCAGTGATGCATGGAATAATTGATACCTGCCTGACAAGAAAATTAAAAAGCACAATTATAATTTTATCACCCTCTTTCCAGAGCCAATGGAAACAACATTCTCGAATAACATCCTTTCTTCCTTTTCTGTCTCTGATAATTTCTAGGAAAATTAAGAGGCTAAGGTGCTTGACTATGAACAACATGATAATTAGTGCAATTGTTCGTGTCTACATTTGACTAAGATACAGCACCTGACAAGAGTGGGGCAAATAAGAGTAAAGCAGAAACATTCAGTTATATCTTCTGAAAGCGCCAGCCTAATGAAGAGGAAGCCATAATTTACAAAGAAAGAACTTTGAAACTGTATAACTTCAATGCATTAGTGTTTATTGATAGAAATCAAATCTTACAATTAATGAATCAATTCACGTTCCTCAGTTGGGACTTGAAGGTCTCAAGATCAGTGAACTGAAATGTCATTGCAACTCTCCCAGAAAAGTCGACCTCCACAATGATACCACCATTATCACCTTTTAGTGTGACAACTGCCCAGCTCACCGCCAATGGCAATACCATCACCAATCCACTTTCCCTTGACTCTTGGGAAGTCAAAATGCGGCTTTTCGCCTGTTAGGAGAGAGTATATATTTTTAGGGGAAAGAGAGTACATCGGTCTTTTGTTACTTTCTAGTGAAAAAGAGAAGCCAAGATAGGCGCAAATATTGGCAGCATATAGGATAATTTTGACTTTTTAGTGAAAGTAAAAAACTGAAAATTTCAACTCTCAATCAAGATCCTAGATTCTCACAATTTCCAGTCCAGTAAATTAGATTTGAATATGAAGTCAACTACCTTAATTATTCATTCCATAAGGGACTTTTAAGAAAAATTGATAGCAAATTGAAGCCAACTGAACAGATGGGAAAAGTTAATCTCATTGATTAAGAAGGGAAAAGATGAATTAATTTGGCTTTCTATTGAGTTTCATTGTTTCAACCAAATTGAATAACAAAAAAGTGAGAAAGGAAAGAAGAATGTGCGTACTTTATCCTTTTCACTCCCTTGACATCTATTACAGGCAGCAGGTTCGTGGTGCTGACATTGCTGAAACAATGAATATACTGGCAATTAAGTTACTTTAAACAATCTTTATATTGCACAATCTACTATTTAGCGTCTTCCAAATCTCTTGATCTTTAAGACAAGATGAACATATTGTCCCTTTTCCACCATGTTTTTTTATTACTTCATGAGCTTCAGAAAGCCTCCTGGCGTCCTGCAAATGACTCACTGGGTACTGTACACAACAAAATTTGGGTCACCTCCTCTAGCTTCCAATTCCTTAAGTATGGAGCATGCCTCCTCAAACTTTTCGGCCATACAATAACCACAAACCATCGAATTGTATGTATTGTCCCCTGGCAATCATCTCATCAAGCATTTCTTGAACTTTCTCAGGCTCTCGAGCCACAATAAATCCCGTAATGATTACAGTGTAGCAAACCCCATCAGGCATGCATCTATTCTTTATCATTTGATCGAAAAAGAACTTGCAAGCGTCCAAGTTTCCAGCACAACTCAGGTCATCTATCAAAGTTCTGAAATGATAAACACCTGGGTGTAATCCCACTTCTTTCATGTGATTCAATAGATTAAGAGCAACAAGTGGTTTATCCCCTTTGCCAGGAACATGTAGAAGGATGTTATACGTATGAAAATCAGGGGAAAATCCGCATCTAGCCATTTCATGGAGTAATCACTGAAATTGCTCTAACTTCCCCAATCTGTATTCTGCGTACATAAGAATTTTATAAGTTAGAAAATTTGGGCCAAAGCCCTCGGCTAACTTCTGCTGGTGGACCCACTCAATTAGCTTGTACTGATTCACAGCAGGAAGTGTATGCAGAATGGCATTGTATGAATGCTTAAACAGCTTATAACTGAATGTCTTTGACTTGATGAACCCCTCCAGAACTTTCCTAGCTAAGTCTGCATATCAAAATGTTAAATGTCCTTGCAGTAGCATGGAAGCCATTCTTTATCATTTCATCTACTAGTCTCCACATTGCCTTGTATGCCTCGCACTACGCAAATATCTTCATTATCAAATGATATGAGTTTGCCGTGTGCCTATAAGTTTCTTGCTGACCAGACCACACGAAAAATTTGTGCCCTAGTTTTGCACACCTGGCCTTACTCGCATAATTTATGTTCTTCAAAATTCCCTTAAGAACTTCTCTCACGAGAAACCCTGAGACCCTTATCTGCATTTAACGACCCTCATCTGCATTTCACTAACTTTTGCATCAAATCCTGGCCCATCTTGTTGTATTCTCCTAGCATCATCCCTTCCACTCTCGAAAAATCCTTGCCTCGTTGGAAAATGTCCCTCAGAGCTGCTTTCATACCCCCCAAAATTATTGGGAATTCCATAAAAAACAGAGTCAAAACTGGAACCCTTCCGAACCCTTCCACATTCTCTTCAAGGGTTCCTCCGAATAATAGAACTCACTATCTATTTTATCACTATCAAAAGTACCATCACACAATTTTCTCCATAAAAATAACGAGATTTTTAAACATTCCTTGTAACAAATCGAGCTATAGAGTTCATTTTTTCATACCAATTCAGCATTGGGATTTGGGTCATCCCTATATCAATCTTTACAGTACCCAACAAATCCAAGAAACGCACAAGCAGATTGAGATATCCAAACACCGAAAGCTCGGAAAACGTTGTGCTCTCGAGTTGAGAAATACCCATTCAGCTGAAAATGTTCCATGACAGCGGTCTATTGGGATTGGAAACGTGCAGTGGACAGATACACTTTCGCCGTGAAAAATAACAACAAGGTCGACAGGGAATGGAAGTGCATATCTCTCTCGCTATATATATAGAGTGTAGGATAAACATAATATAATGATTTAACATAAAAAATATTAAAAAAAAACATGATTCATAATTAATTTAATATTATTTTTTCGTTTTTAAAATTAAAAATTAAAAAATGTGATAAAAATATATTATCAGAATTTTTAAATATTTAATATTATTATAAAAACGTATTGAGTAAAATGTCTAAAAAATATAAAGAGAATAATAAAATATTATAAATACAAGAATAATATAATATTTTTATTTCAAATATATTTTTCTACCCAAAAGCATCTTTTCAAGAATTTCTAGTTTGTATTTGAAAACCATACTTTTAATTTGAAAGTAATTTTTTTTTGTTGTTGTTTAGTTGGATTAGAAGTATTTTTTTAATGCAAAAAGTTATTTTTAATAGTATTGTTAAATTAAATATTAAATTTGAGTAAAAATTATATATAAATTTAAAAATTTAAAATAAAAAATTTATATTTATTTATTAACATAAATTATAATAAAATATATTTTGTATTATATATTTAACAACAAATAAATATAATATAAATACATAAATTATTAAATTACTTTTAATTACTTTTCTAAATTGTTATTCCTTACTTATGTGTGGTGCAAAACTATACAAATAAATCTATTTTGTCACTTTTTTTTTTATAAAGAACTTAATTGTGTAGTGCACAATACAAAAAATTATAAATACATTCTCCAAAACCAGAACCGAAGCTAGGCCCAATTATAGCTCATGACTAAATTTAATAATTTTTATATTTATATTATGTAAAATATTAATTATTTATGTATTTATTTTATATTTTATATAAAAATTATATGTCATAATTCTTACTAATATGAAAACATAAAATATATTTTTGATTTTATTAAATCTATATAAATTTTTTATAAAAATTTATATTTTAATATTTTTATATTTTTTTATATTTTTATATCATATTATCATATCATTTTTTAGATAATCGACTATACTTATAACCCTAGAAGTAAGATATATTTTATCTTACCAAAAGGCCTAAGATGTCTTTGGCAAAATAATTTATAGTTTAAAAATAAAAAAAGTTTATATGTAATGCATTATTTATGTATAAATCTTATACACAATTAATAAATTATATTATATTATCTCATTTATGGATAAAAATTAACTTTTAAAATAAATATTTAAAAATTAATATTATTTAAATATTTACTCATTAATGAAGTAATATCATATTATTTATTTTATTAATAAGATAATATTATTTGGTTTACTTATAATATATAAAATTATATATATTGAATTTTAAATTGTAAAATATTATCTTTAAAATAATTAGAGATAGAGGTGAGAAAATTTTGAGAAAATAAAAAATTGATTTGAAATCGTAGTATTCTATTTGATTCAAATCAAATTTTTTATTTAATTCGAATTAAATTCAGATATTAAATATATATATATATATATATTAGGTTTGGATCATATTTGGATCGAAAAGTGAAAAATAAAAAATATGAATCAAATCAAATTATATATTTTTTATTAATATATATATATTTAATTTTTTAAAATAATTATTTTATACCTAAATTTATTTAAATATTATTAAAAATTATATTAAAATAATATATAAAAGATTTAAAATTAATAAATCAATAAAATTTGATTTGAATTTAAATCAAAATTTAAAAATTAATAAAAATTTAAAAATCGTTGAATTAGTAAAATTTTATTTAAATTCAAACTAAATTTTAAAAATTTATATATTATTAAAAAAAATATCAAATCAAATTCGAATTGTCACTTTCTAATGACAGACAAAAATCACTAGAACACAACTCAAAATTTTTACTTTTGAAAAAAACAATTGAAAGGGTAAAATAAAAAAAAAAAAGTGTAATCGATCAGAATTTAAGTTAATATAATATTAAACTCGAATTTAAGTTTGATTTAAATTTTGAGGTTTAAAATTTGATTCGAATTCAATCGAATTTTATTTTTTTAACTTGAACTCAATTCTAAATAAAAATCAAGTTATTTAAATTTGTTCAATTAAGTTTCATTAATATATAAAAAAAATTTGATTCTTATATTCAATAAAAAAATTGATTATTATATTCGAATTTAAGCTTGAATTCAAAATATTTTATTAATTAAATTAATAAAAATATATTTAAATATAAAAATTTAACTCAAATTAGATATAAAAATATTTAAATTTGACTCGATTGATGAATTTAACTATTTAAATTTGACTTGATAATAATTATATTAAATTTAAAATTTATTTAAATCGAATTAAATAATTTTTAAATATTAATGTATCGTGTATATGCGGAGCCAAAGAAGCAATCGTGCGCGCCATCCACGCAAGTGGCGAACCCTCCGGTTGGAAAAAAATCCAAATTTATGAGCGCCAATTTGAAATTTCATGTCCCAAAACAACTCTCACTTCACCTGAAACAAACTCATAGAAATCACCGACGATGCGCACTCGATTTATGAACACCGACTACGTCACAACCTCTCAATCTCCAACAGAAACTATAAACTTCCTCCATCTACCGCCTCCTCGCCTCCCTCCTTGGCATCTTTCTATCTTCAACGACGTTCTTCTTCACTTTGATCCGTTCCTCAATGTCCCTCTCCAGACCGAGAGATTGCCGATCGACGCCGCTCTCTCCAAGTTCTTGTCCGAAGCAATTCCTCAGTTCATCGATGTCGATTTCAGAGATTTCGAGGATACTCGATCTTCACGTGGAAATGTCGGCGCCATGTTCTCTGAGGTAAACTGGAGTTGGATTCTCTTTAGTTTTGGATGCAAACTTGATTTCAAATGAAAATTTAATGATTATGATGTTAAGTACGAAAATCACATGAATTGTTGTTGAATATTTGTTTCGGTTTTGGATTTACAAAAAGAGACTCTACTTTATTTGTTATTTATTGATTTCCTGGGAGCGCTCTCTCTATTGATCTATGACTTGTCAATGCGTAACAGTTCTTCAATAATGGAAATTACTGAGATCTATTTTCTTAGTAGAAACAATCTAGTTTCAATCATGCATGCATGTTTTTCATTTTACTCTACTTCAGAATGACCTATTCTGATGCCTGGTTCTGCGCTCCATGATTTTACAAAAGGAAACCGTGAAAACGCACTTACAGTTAATTTATTCCTAAATATTTTAATAAAAAACTAAAACGAATATGAAAATTAACATCTCTTGAAAGATTATAAATGAAAAACTTAATGATTTCTAGTGATCTGGCAGCTTTTTGTCTACGGTCTTGGTATTGTTACCTCGAGATGATTTTCTTGATTTGCAGAAAGAAGCTATGGTTTGTAATGAGAAGGAAGCAGGGAGTCAGATAACTTTTGGATCTGAAGTTCTAGAGGTTAGATTTCCAAAAGCACTAAATAAACTTTCTCAGATGATGTTAACCTCGTTTCACTTTTATTTCCTTCTCTTTAGGATCTTCCATAAAGATTAATTCATGCCCCTGCAGAAGGATAATGCAACCAGAGCAGATGATAAGGATGTGCAGAGGTTTGAGGTCATCCTATTTGAAACACCAGCGCTGGATACATTCTTGGTATAATAAAATGTCCATTAGATATATGAAAATTGATTCAGTAAAGCACCAGTTTGAAAATTTTGTACTTACATATACATATATTTATATATATATTATATTTCTTTGCAGGATAATACTTACTTTTCCGAGAAAGAGATTGAGACATTCTGCACAATTCCAGAGGTTGATAATAATCAGGTAAATATTAATTTATCTTATAATTTTTTTAAGTCTTGTATGATACCTTAGAATCAGCCTTCTTTCCTATTGAATGCGGAATGACAAATTTCCTAATCTTTGGGTGAATTGTACTAAATATTACAGTTTATTTCCTTTAAATTTGCCTAAATTACATCTATTCTGATATGGTGATAAAGTTTAACGGTTACCTTAATGTTTTAGATATTTACCTTAACATGCAAAAGTCCAGACAGGTTGGTCTTAATTTGCTTAGTATACTGATGGATTTAGTAGTTTCTCCGGATGTCCTGTAACCTTCTTAATTTGTTCACTTGTTTCTGGAATGCAGCTTTAGTCATATCTTGTTTGAGACTTGGATGCAAGTTATATATTTATTTTGATCAAAGAAAGACAAGTAAACTAATGCTGTTCAAGTATCTAGAAAGATGCTTCATTATATTCAGTTTATTCTGTTCAAAAAGAAAAGCCTAGCTTGATAGCCATAATCTACAGTGTTTTAAAGGAGAAATATAAATGTAACTGCTTTATGGAGTTTTAATGATCCTTAAAATTCTTAGAATAATTTGCTGTCTCTTTTTAACTGGATCTTTCTTCAGGATGAGATAGAACCTATAGTGCAGTATTCTAAAATGATTCAAGAATCAGTTTATTCTGTCGAAGACGTTACTTCAGATGACAACATGGAGCAAAACAATTATATGCTGGAAGAGGATAGTTCTTTTGGGGATCAAGTGCTTTTACAGCATAGCACCTTTCCTATTTTAGAGGTGGATGAAATAAGTCTGGGTATTATGACAAGTCAATCTATGGATTATGTACTTCCTTCTGTTTTTGAATCTATTGAATCCCAGCTGTGGACTCAAGAAAATAATGTGCTTATTGACAGCAAGGAGCTCTTGGGCTCTATTGGGTATGATATCTTATTGTTTCTTTCTGATCACTGTTTGTCAAAACAGTTTCCCGAACCTGAGCTGTCATTCCCAGAGATGTTCCTGGATGTGAACCTTATATGCATGGTGGAAACTCCTCAAGTTGATTGGAACTCTGAATTTTATATGGCTAAACATGATGCTGATTATTTTTTGCCAATGAAACCTGGTTCTTTTTGAGGAATTCCAGAATTTTGACGTGGACTCATCTCAAAATTTTGAAGTGTTTCTGAACAGACAAGTGACCTATGAACCAGAAGCATGTAACCAGATGTTCAGGGAAGACATGAATTTAAAGAGTTTCAATGAATTGGTTGTTAGTCATGAACTTGTGCTGGTAGATGAAACATTCAAATCTTTGCCTGTACCTGTACTCTCTGATTATAGAAGGAAGAATTTAACATGCACTGGTGTTGAGGAATTACTGTCTGAGTTGAAGCCGCTGCTTCTATCTTCATCTGATGATATCTACTTGGACTGGTATATTTTGGAAGAAGATAAATGCAACAATAAAGTTTGTTCTTTCTTTCAGAATATGGTAGAGGAGATAGACTCTTATAACATTGATTTTGATCGGGAAACTCTTGAGGATGGAAAGTTAGTGTCTAACTTCATTTTCTTAGATGATGATTTAAGTGGATCAGCCACTGAACATTATGAGGAAGCACTGAACGTCAGTTCTGATAGCATTCCTATGCTTAATGGTCATCTTATGGCTGTTGTTTCAGGTGATTTACAAGACAATGGATGTCCAAAACCAGGAAACTCAGAACAATTAGCAGAAAAAGATGCCAAGAGGGCTTCATTGCTATTCAAGTCTATGTCACAATTCAATGATCTTGATTTTTTCTTGAATCCCCAGAAACGTAACACTGGAGAAAATGCTGGCCCTGCAGCTCTGTCATTCAACCCAAATGTTACATTACCCAATGTTTCATCTGTTCATTCAGTTGAAGCACGTGCATCTGCTGATGTACAGTTGCAGCAGTGGGATATCACGGTTTACACCATAAAATTGACAGATGATATCGTAGCTCTGATTGATAATTTTGAAAAGAGCTTTCTAGCTATCTTGCAGAATGAGACAGAGCTAATCACATTTTTACCCGCAGATAACTTTGAATTACTTAGCCTTCCAAAGCACAAATTAATGGAATGTATTAAGAAAAAAATGGCTCGAAGAACTATTTCTCACAAAGATGAAGACATTATGGCATTTGTTACATTGTGTGCAATTAAGCAAATGGCTTGGTATATGTGTTTCTATGGCATCCAAGCAACTCACTTATATGTAGACAAGCTATGGCGAAGCCTTGGCTGCATGAAGTCAAGATTAAGTTTCCTCCATTCCTTGATTGAGGATGCATGTGGCAAGGTTGGCAAGGAAATAACCAGATCGCATCCCTCACTCTGTGTTATACAGGGAATTTTACAGTCAAACACTGGTCCAAGTAGTTCAAAAGTGTTGATTTTGACAGAGCAAGTCTTCTGGTGGTCCTTGAAGAGTTTGTTGATGTCAATGGGTTTAACATGGAATGAATTATCAAGTGTCTGCACAAGTGCAAATCCATCAGATGCCGATAAGATGGTTTCTCAGCTGAATTCAGGTTGTTGGTTGGTATCTCAGGAGTAAGTTCCAAACCAACAATATCTAATTATATAACTCACTTTTTTGTTCTATACTATTTGAAATCTTTTTTCTATTTGCTCTGTCAAAAGGTCAACTGAATAACATTGTTACTACAGGATATAGGAAATAAAAACAAACATTTCGATTTTTACATTTATGTAAATCATGGATTGGCTTGAGGTAGCAAGGTGTTCTTTACACTGTTATTGATGAACTTCTTGGAACTTGAATCCGGAGAAATTATACATGTTTCTAACCTCATTGGCATATTAGTTCTACCTTAATCTGGTTGTGTACTTACGAATTCAATGACCTATCCCTATATCTCTACATATACAGTTGCAGCTATTGACTGTTAAAGGATAGATGATTTGAATGGACCACATGACCATATATATTCTGCACATTTATGCAAAAATATTCTTAAATAAAATTTTCATGCCACATCTAGAACCTAATACAAGATGTTAAACTCATTTCTGTGAATTTGGGAATTATTGTTAGAATTCAACAAATTTTAGCATAGATGTTAAATCATGAAGATTAATTGCATTATTTCTTGTAACAAAGGCATGTGGGATATTTTTTCAAATATTTATCCAACTTCTAGCCTCCTTAGCACAATTACTTGTTAGAGTTTGAGTTTTCTTACATTTTAGAATTTCTAACCAAAAGATTGAGAATGCAACACATTGCATGTTATGAAAACATAAAGATGAAAATCTGAACTCTGAAGTGGGTGGGCTGATCTTCTTAAACTTTAGTCTGCTTGTTGTGTGGAGTAATGAAGCTATATGTGATATTCTCTTTCTTTCTCCTCAAGGCATGTTTCTTCATCTTTTCCATTCAACAAGTTCAACCTTATTGTGGAATATGGAGGCTTGTGTGGCTCATCTAGGGTATCTTCTTTTTCCCCCAAGTCAGTTGGTTTGACTCATCTTCACTTTTTGAAGATTGAACTGGATGGCTCTAGTGCTTCCAAAGCACTCTGTGAAGGTGTCGATATGCCTCAGGCTACAAAGAAGTTGATGGTAAGTCTCTTCTTTCTTACTAGAGTTTACGGAAAGTTAATCTATTCATTGATGGTATCTATACTTTATGTGCTTGTAGGCAATTAACTTCAGTTGCCACGATTCCTGTAATTTCAGTTTCATTCAAAGACTTGCATACCATCATGTGTAACAAAATTTGAATATAAATTATAGAACAGAAGACAAATTTAATCATACTATTAAGAGTGTTCTGTTGGGCCTCAGCTCAAGTAATGAAGGGTATTATGAGTTCAGAAGATGTCGTAATTGCCTATCAACCAGTGAAAACATCAATTCAGTGCCAAAGTTGAAATATGCAATTGGGATGAACGGAAGGAACAAAATACCTCATGTAACAGATATAGAATGCCCCCCTTGAAATTTAGGCGTGTTGCTTGTGTCAGTAAAGTTGAGAAAATTTCTTTAGGACGAGTTGGGAGTCTATAGCTGATTTTACTTTGTGATTTTCTTGCTGTTTGCTACAATATAGGTGATTGAATTGTGATAAATTGGTGTTTAATCATTGAAATTAATATCCTTTTCAGTCCTTAAGAATGGAAACAATTCCAAAATTTGACTGCTTGATAAAGGATAGGTTTTAAACATTGGGGCAAAAATATTTTCTTATTGGAATGAGCTGACTCTCTAAAATGTTGTGAACTCTTAATATAACTGTTTTCTATCAGTAATCATAGTGGTAATAATTGTGGTAATCACAGACATGCTGCTGACACTACCCATGTTTTAGGAAGGAGAGTTTGATTCAATCTTGGCTCTAGATGATAATTTGAATTATGAGAGGTTGGAGGACCTCCTGAACTTTATTCCAATTGAAGACAAGTATAATAAGAGATCTGTCGAAAGTGTGGATAAAGTAGAAGTTCAATGTAGGCCTCTGCCAGTTGCAGTGGAACCCAAACTAACTCAGCAGAGAATGGTTGACATAGTAATTGTTGTGAACACGCAAAATTTTGATAAGGAAATGATTGTATCCAGAAGAAGTACATATCAAAAAATTCTTGCAAAGGAGAAAGAAGGAGCTCAAGTAGTGGAAAGGGATTCAAATCTGCCTGTGGATGTCATAATTAGTTCTGCAATTTGCCTAGTATGGTATGACTGCAGAAACATTGGACAAAAAGCTGCCACTTTAGATGAAGCAACTTCATGCTTACCATCGTGCATTGAGTATATTGCAACTAATCTTTTGACCTTGCTGAGTTTTACTTTCAGTGGCTGTTTCCTGGTAATTTCCACACCTTAAATCAGTTTTACACTTTGACTTTCATATCTTAACTAGCTAGACAATGGAAGTAATTGAGTTTCAAGAAGACAAATGTCATGTATTATTTGGAGATCTTTGGGATGCTCAGAACCAGAAAAATCTAGGTTTATGCTTTAACTAGCTTTCTGTTGATTTCATTGATATGGTTGGAATATGTGTATTTTACCTCTAGTGAAACATTTTTTATTTGCTTCTATTCACTACTTGTCTTGCCTGTATATCAGAGATTTTAAAAGTAACAATGAACTATAAAAACAACTTTAAAGTAAAAATTTCAAACTGGATTTAAAGTAACCTGGTGTTGCTTATTTGCATCCGTAGCCATCTTTTGCTGGCTTGGTCAGACTCAGCTGATTAGGAGTTGTTATAGGTGATGTTCTTGCTTGTTCACTAGAAGTATGAAATTTCTTATACCCTAGGTTGAAAATTAAAACAAACCTCAAGGCAGACATTTTTCATTGTACCGTGCAAGATGAGACATAGTACTGTAGAAAAGATGGAAATTCTGAACTACTTTTATTAAAAAATTAAAATTACTGCCGTTGTTTTTTTTTTAAAGTAAAATTATTATTGATGTAATTTGAATTGCAATAAATTGTATATACTTTTTCTTCCAGGTCTTTGAGGGAGAAATTGGCTTCCTTTCTACTGTAATGGAATCCTCAGCTGGACTCTATGCAGCAGCAGCAAGCTTGGGAATTGATTTCCAGCTTTTTTGTTCTTATTCATACGAGTTAACTGATGAAATTATAATAAACTGCATTGACTATGCTGCTAAGAAGACCAGGGGCCTATATCCAAAGATGCCTGATTCAGAAACTCTGGCGGAGTCATTCCTTACAAAATTTCCTTCAATTAATCCTTTGACAGCTCATGCTATACTCTCTTCAGGAGGAATGCTCATTGAGTTCCTTGAGTGGTCACATGAACGCAGGATCTATGCAGTCCAAAACTATTGTGTACCTGATGAGAGTGTTTTTCTTTTCAGTGTTTTGTGCAAGTATGGTGAGCGGGAGGATTCAAAATCTGTAATGACAGATTGCTCTTCTGTATCTTCTGGTCCTGACTCTGACAAGTGTCATCATATTGTTGGTTCTAAAGGAAAACAAAGACAAAGCATAACTAGCCCTCATAAAATCAGCATAAGAATGGACGAGTTTATGCATTTTGAGCCTTTGAATCAATGCACAGATGACTTCCTGAATCCTTCTGGACTGTCAAAGCCACATGATTCGTGGATTTCCAAAGGTTCTGAGATGTTCCAGGATTACAAAAAGCACCGTTCATCATTGAAAGCTATATTTGATCAAAAACAAGAATTTGATTTTCCCACACTGTTGAGCTCTCAAATTCCTAAGCAATATGATTCTCACATCTCTGAAGGTCCTAAGATGTTAAATGAAGCAAAAAAGCCCAAACTCAGTATACCCTTAAAAGATAATATGTGGGATTACAATCAGGGAGAAAATATGGCCATGCTGAACACTTTGGACTGGCAAAACATCAATAACTTTGAGAACCAGCACAAAGACCTTGTGTGTGAAGTTATTGACCTCACTGACAGTCCAATGTCAGGTGAGGGTTTCTCTTCCTTTGGTAACTCTACTCTTCCTTTCTCTTTGGTGCCAGAGATTGAAAAAGATTCTATAAGAAAGTCTAAAATTGCCAGAAGATTGTCATGTGGTAAAGGCAGTGACACTGTTTTCCCATATGTTTCTGAGATCAACACTGGTCCAGATATATTGAGTTTTGTAAAATATCCTAGACAAAGTTTCCAAGGAACTAATGATAATCCAGATACATGTTATAAGGATAAGTTGCCTGCCAGCGACCAAGAAAACCTCATATGGGATGTTTTAGCTCAGGGATCTGCAGCTTGCAAAGGCTCGCTACTAAAAAATTATGTCTCAAATCACAGAGCAACACCACTCTCAAAGGCCATTCTTTCAGCCCATCCACAATCAGGTTCACCTTGGACGATAGAATTTCTTAACAGAATCAAGGAGAAGAGCAGATTACATAAGCAGAATCCTCCTGATGCATCTGCTTCACCCTTTGAGATATCCGGAAATATAGCAAAAGTTCCTAAGAGAAGAAGTCCGTCAATTCTTGAATTTTTCAAATACCAAGGAGGTAGCACTCCTAGGAAATTACTAGAACAAAGGAGGAAGAAAAGATGTCCGCAATCATCCATCCTATCTAAGAATGAAAAGACTTCATCCTACCATATGCAAACATGCACACCCATGGATAAGAGAGCAAGGCAGGTTGGTATAAAATACCTTGGTATCATATTTGACGTGTAATACAGACACAAATTCATGTCTGCAATTGAAATTTTGCTATTTTCTCCTCTAGACTCTATCTTTTGCAATGAATGACAGTGGAAGTCAAACTAAGCTGGTTTGGAGTGACGGAAGTGCTCATGGTTTGAGCAAAAAGCTTCGCAATCAATAATTGGGATGGAAACAAGAGGGGTGCAATGTGTATGGGTGTAGAACCATTTGTGGAATTAGTAGGTTGTTTCTTGAATATAGTGCTCAGCAGCGGTCTCTTTTTCTAGTCAGAAATAGCAATACAAAGATTTACTAAGTCTTATTTACATTTACTTGTTTTATGCAGATCACCCTTTAAACATGTCATCAACTTGGTGCAGTTTCCATGATTTTTGCAAGAATGTATCCAGATGGGTTCAATCAGTAAGCTCCAACACCATAGTCCTCATGCTATAAATATTTGATTTGGCCGGAAATATTGAACTGACTAGCCCACAGGCTGTTAGGCATTTATAAGAAAGCTTATCATGCAGCTTCATGCTTGAAAGTCAAAATGAATCAATCTTTGAACTAAAATTTTATTGGGGCATGCACTGCTAGCAGCTGTGTATTAGAATATGCCTGCCTGCATTTGTGGTGCTTAAGTATCTATTGATTTTAACACCTTTAATTGATGTCAAGCGTGATGTGTTCAGGCTTGCTCAGTGTAGTTGGGGTGTTTCTTTTATTGTTATAATTTTATTTTTGTGATAATAATATTATATTCACCCTAAGAAACAGAAAAGCCCCATCTTGTGAAATCAGTCGTTTGCTTGAAAAGAAGAAGTGCCAGGACTGTGGACCAAGACAGGCTTGATTTGTTAGTTCTTCTTCCTCAAACTTAATTATAGATTTTAATTTATTGAGCAAAATGAAGGAGGCAGTGGATTGGTTCCTATGTATCTATTTGGTCTGTAGGTATCTAAACATTTAAAGCCACAAAATCCAGATTTGCTGCTTGAGCTTTTGGCCTAATTGGTTGAATCTAATTTTTCAGTGTTCCTAACAGGAGAGATGAGCACTAAAGAAAGGAGGAATGCTGTTTCGCTAGTTCAAATGAAAAGGATTACTTAATTGAACTTTGATGTAAGTATCACACATGGATTTTCTGTTTAGAGGATCAGTTGCTTCACCTGCTTAGTGTTATTTGTCCAACATACTACATCTCTGAACATACTAGTTGTTCTTGGCATTCTTAAGGTTTCGTGCCATCATCACAAGTTGCTGTCTTTCACCTTCCACTTCTGCAAATTTGAGGCTTATTTCTGAATATCTTTGTTCCATGTCTTTAAGCTCATGCTCCATAGATTTATTCCTTTCCTTAAGATGTTCCACTTCACTTAGCAAATTGGCAAGAGTAGCACCATTGCTGGTATCAGAAGTAGGAAAACAGAAATGATAAGATGATTAGCTCCATCTATAGTAAAGATATTGCTTAATAATAAGCTGTAATTCTTCAGAACAAAAAAATTGACATTGATGTTCACCTTATTGAATGCTAATACTTTTCAACTGGTACTGCTCCTGTTGAGAAAGCCGTGCCCTCTGTAGTGCTCATAGAATGGAGCATGTTGTCTCGTGACTTTCCTCTTTCTTCAGATTTGGTGACATTTGCAGAAAAGACTCCAGAAGATATGCTTTCCTGTATTTTGGACATCAGTAATCTTGAGACTAGAGTAACAGTCTAGAATCTAAATGGATGGAACGGAAGCATATCTATCAATAAGGATGAAACTGAGATATAAGTGCCCTTCATTAAAACTTCTTAGTCTTGGAGGTCTAGAAATAAAGGAACTTCTACAAAATGAATTCATTGATATAGTTTTGAAGAGGCAACATTGTTTATGACTTTATTTCTTATGCATTATTATTGTTCAATAAGAAGGTATTGCTAATCACTGAAATACTGTTTCTATGATTGTTTGGACCTAAATGTTGCCTCATGAACTGTGTCTAGACTAAAATATTTCTGTCTAGTTTTGTGACAAATCACAAAACTATATTAGTCAATGCTTTTTTTATAATTGTAATCCACAAACCTTTTGACAATGGTCTGCAGAAAAACGACAAATTTTGAGTTGTTCCATTCTGCTCTCAAGCTCTTCAATCATGTTGCTGAGATTTTTGAGTTGTTCCATTCTGCTCTCGAGCTCTTCAATCATGTTGCTGAGATTTCTTTCTTTCTCTGGAGCTGAGTTAGCTGATATTTTCAATGCAGCTTCCTTGAGGCTTATCTGTTCCTACCAAAAATTGTGAAATTATTAATCTTTGATATTTGATGAATGAGAGCAAAAAATTTGTTATATCAGCTTGGTTGTTTGGATATTTGAGAACATAGAATGTTAACATATCATGACTGGATAAAGGAGATTATGTAGCAATGTGGTTTTTTTCCACCACTGATGTTTGTTAAATATTGCACATCTCACATTTCATATGTAATCTTTCCATGCATAACAGATACTGTTTTTAATTTCTAAGCGTTGTATTTGAACAACTACCTTAAGCAACCTTAATTTCTTCTGCAAACTAGCGATATCCTTGGACTCTTCAGGAGCTGAGGTAGAGTGGCTGCTCCTGGCAGTGATGTCCACTTGACTGCCATTACTTTTGAGCTCTTTCTGTATAGAGCTGATTTCTTCCTTCTTCTGCAGGTCATTCTTTAACTGAGAAACCTGTTTTCTCAGTTTTTCATTCTCCATTTCTTCTTGAATCAAGCTATGTTTTAAGTCATTATACTCCACTCTGATATTTTCCGTTTCTGACTGCAAATTCCTGACCACCATCTCTATATTTTTCCTTCAAAGACCTTGTACTAATTAATTGTTCCTGTGCCTTCTCTGCTTCCTTCTTTGCCGAAGCGATTTTTTTCTCCAATTCATCTATTTCTATAGTCCATCTTTGTATCAGCATCTCAGTTTTGTCACTTGATGTCTTAACATTTTTGGTTTCATCACTTTGCTTTCCATTTTCTTTTGCCTGATCCATAAATTGGCTTCTCTGCTCACTGAGCTTCTCAATCTCAGTTCTGGGCATTTGAAATTCTTTTGAGAAAGCCTCCTGCATTTCTTCTCTTGCTTTTCTGCATATTCAAGTAGTGTGGTCTTATCATCAAGTTCCATTGACATTTGCTCTATTTGTTTTTTTTTTTTGAGATCTAGTTGGTGTAAAAGGTCTTGTCGTTCAATTTCAGTCTGATCCTTAAGTAGCCTGAGCTTTTCATTGGCTTTCTGGAGCATTTCTTCCAGATTTCTTTTTTGCATGTGCAGTTCATTGGCTTCAGTGACTGCTTTCATGTTCATCTTTTCAATCTCATCAAACTTAGTGGCCATTTCAACAGATAGCCTTTTAAATTCCTCCTGAAGCCGCTCAGCAGTAACCGCATTTGTCCACCTTGTCTTTCTTAAGGCCTCCTCTGCATGGATTGCCCTCTGTTCCTGCTCTGTTTTGGCACATATCATGGCATTGAGGTCATCTTCAAACCCTTGTGTCTGAATCTCCAGCTCGTTCTTTAATTCTTTAACTTGACTTTCAAGTTTGTTGGTGGCAATTAAAGATTCTGAGTATTCTTCTGACTGCTGCTTGATTTTATCCTCTAGTCTATGCACTTGAGATTCAAGTTCATTTATCGTAGCTAAAGATTCTGAGAACTCATTTTGTGGCTTCATTGATTCTTTTTGCTGATTTTGTTTTAACTGGGAAGAGATACTGTCATTTTCCTGGTTCAGTTCTTCTATATGCATCTCTAACTCCTCTTTATGTTTCCTGTAAAACTCTAACTCTGCATTCAGGTCTGTGGTTGTCTGCTTGATCATGATTACTTCATTAGCATCATGTTGTTCCTTCTTGAATTCTTTCAGTGTATTCTGATCCTCAACCTCGTTCATTTGGCATTTAGAACTTGGCTGCACCTCTTCAATACTCATACTTGCTTCTATCTCGCTGGAGAGGTGAGATATTTCTCTGTTCTTTTGCTCTAGTATTTCATTGAGGTCTCTTACTGCAAGAATCAGATTAGAATTTGAATCCTGTGTCATCTGCAGCTGCAAACAAAGATTGTTATTCAAGTCCTTTTCATGATTCAGCTCCTGCCTAATTTCTTCTAGCAGAACCTTTGACTCCTCTTTTTCAGCTTCTAGTTTGCTTTTAATTTCTGCCTCATCTGTATTTTTCTTTGACTTGAGTCATTCAAACTCTGTCTTCACTGCATCTCTTTCTTCTTTAAGGCTGATGATTTATCTTGACAGATCCTGTGTCTATTTGCCCTCTTTCAAAACCTGCTTCCTAAGAGATTGCAGCTCTAATTCTGATACTTCTACCTGGCTCAATAACATAGCATTTTCTCTTCTGAGTTTCTCAAAAGAATTTTCTGATCCCTCTTGCCATTCTCTTGGGATGTCTTCAGGGCCATTACCTGACTCAACTAGATTTCCATCTGAATTTGAATTGAGTGACCAATCTGTGTTTGTTCTCCGCTGCATGTGCTTTTTAGTCATGACAGCATCTGCTCCCCTCTGAGACATAGAATTCTGCCGTATAGATGGAAAGAAGCCGGCAGGGTCCTGACTGGTACTAGTCTTTTTCGGTTGTTCAGAACCAATGTCCCAGCATGATGCTAATATAGCAGTAGAGCCACTGGATGCTTTAATGCTACCATCTTGTTCAGCATTCTGATATGTGGTCATATTCAAGTGCCCATCCTGTGAAAGAATCTAAACAATTTAATTGGAAAGTTGCATAAAACGGCCATCTATTCCTGCTAGTAAATTCAGGATGCTCTAATCAAATTATTATTGCCATAATAAACTATACAAAAACTTCTGTGAAGTTTTGGTTGTTTTCATGTACACTGTAATTGTTGTCTTGTTTTTGTAGGCTTCCATCCAAGGAAATGGCCAAGCCTTCACTTTCTCCAAGATATCTGATATTAAAAGTTGGATTTCATATATGTAAATATAACAAGAAAAAGCTTAAGGAAAAAGAGTGGGAAGGCGAAGGAGAAAGGGACGAAAAATTAGAAGGCAATAGTGAATGACTAGAGATGGAGGCGTGTATCACCTCTGACCTGCTCCTCCCTCAATTTTGTGAATTGTCACCTGTGGATCACCATGAATTTTCACAACCAAATGACAGTGAAGCTATATTAGATTTTGAAATCAATAGAATTCAATGCTTGGGTGTCACTGCTTAGTGTAAGTGCACGCATTTTGATTTAGAAAGAAAGAGAACTAACATATAGAATGGCACCAGAGTTAGCAAGCTTAAGGGGCAGAGAGACAGTAATTGGTTCAGTTTCTGCTGCAAAATCAGAAAAATCAATTGAAGCTTCATCGAGAAAACCTGCTTTTGATGATCCCTGCAACAAACCAGAGTAATTAGCTGCCAACAGTAGAAACTTAAACAATGGAGAAGAAAGGCTGAGGAATTCCCTACTATACATTACATACATTTGAAAGAATGAAATGGTAAATCTTTTCACCCAGTTTCCCTGTTTTTGGCTCCCTGATGAGTTTCACAGTTTCATAGACAGGATTCTCTCACAAACAACTCCCATCCTGAACTGCGACTTTCTCTAGTCTCAGCGTCGGCTTTCCAACATCCTCCGGCACCAGTGCTATCGTTACCGCAGACTTTTTCAACCTTGGCACCTGAAAAATAAAGATGCAGATCAGGTGAGATCTTGAATCCTAATTCTTAATTCTTGATTACTAGCGCAGCTTATCTCAGTAGTTTTTGTCTAACTAGTACCTGAGTTGCCTGAAACTGCAACTGAAATAAAACTTTGATCTTTTTCTTGTCGCTCTTCCATGTCTTAAACATGTTTTAGTCGTATATATGATTCAGTTTCTCCATTGAATATTTGCTACAAATCCCATTCACTTCATTGGGATTCTGTCTAAAAACAATGCTACAGAACTAAAAAAAAGGGTAGTTTCTGCATAGCCGTGGAATGCATAAGTGTTGTGAAAGCAACGAGATGTTCCAGTCTGTTAAACCCCTTCAGTAACTTCAGAAATGGCAAGTAGAAGATGACTCAAAGTCAAACCAAAAATGTAGTGCATTACAACGTCGATGAAGAAGCTTCTTTGTAACATATCTAATCAAAACATCTGCCACTATGCCAAGTAGTAAAAGTTTCGGAATTGGAAAGCTGTTTTCTTTTGATTGCAATAAGGCACGAGGTGCGAAACTTTAAACCAAACAGATGGCTGATGACCCTACACTTTTGGTTATTGTCATCATCAACTCAAAAACCGAATGCCTGTTTTTTCTAGGTTAATTTATGATTCAACCCCGTCTCTGAGCATAGAGCCTCTTGTCCGTCTAAAATTTATAAATTGTAGCTTCATTTCTCAGCAATATGTCAAAAAAAGAGTTCGAAGATGTAGAAAAAAAGATTATGCCCTCATATATGTTGGTAAATTTTCATGCATGGGAGAACAATGAAAATAACGTAAATGGAAAAAAAAAAAAAACAAATGGACCTAAAAAATTAATTTACTTTTAAAACATTTGATAAAAGATTGAAGATATCAAATACCGTACAAAGCATAAGGCACTTGCAACGGCCAAAAAGAAAAAAAGTAATTATGGCACTATTTTCCGTTGCACCAAACCACCCCCACCCCCAAAAAAACTATTATGGCATTATTGCAACGGCCAAATGATTAAACCATGATTTGACCAAAATTATTAAGAGAAAGATTTTCAAAGTTTAGATGGTTTGGATTATATGGGTTGCCTTGAAATTATTTCATGAGCCAGTGATGGCCCAAACCCCTTTTGTTTCGGCAAATCTGATCCATATTTAACAAGAGCCTCATTATTTTCCACCAGTGCCAAGATATACAAAGGCGTAACATTTATTTTTGGCTGGTCAAATTCCGGCCAAGTTGCCCCGTAAAAGTGTAGAAACACGTGGTGGCATGTGCTCTCTCTCTCTCTTACCCCATGCACAGTCCCATACTTTTCCTGTAACAATGGATCTAAATCATTACAAACTTATATCGTAAAGCTTTTGTATAAATAGCTATATTGCAATTAAGTGTCAATGAGCTATCTTTTAGCAAGTGTCATGGACCACTCTCGTACTGCCACCTTTGTGGAGTAACAACAAGCTTTTAATACCTTCACAAGCTATATTATGGCTGCTATAGAAATATTGGGAATGCTAGGAAATTTGATGTTAAATTGTTTGCTAATGGCAGAGTTTTCACAGGGCAAAGTCTCACTCTTGAAAGTTGCTTTTTATGTCATCAGCAATTAATTCCTCGCCCTTGAATGGAGTTTGTTCGGGGTCTGCCTAGAACTTCTTGTGATGCTTCTTTTCTCTCTAATGCATACACGTGCATGAGGTGATATCTCTTTTCGAAAGATAAAATCAAGAGAATATGTCTCCGGATCCTCACAGCAGTGGATAATATTTCATAACAGACTCAATTCAACAATCCTTGCATCAACGCACACCATATACTTGATAATATCTTTATATCTTAATCAATGGCTGCATTTGATCAATCTATCAATGAGACAATGGCTGATACTAAATCATTAACTTGATGTTATATTGCGAGTATGTCGTTATTTTCAGAATTTGAATCCTTCCTTCCCCTGTTTCCCATTTAGTTAAAACAGAAAGTGACTCTGTATATTACCCTTTCAAGTTTGATTTCTTTCTCATAAACTTGTACAAGTATCTCTTGGCAGTTTTTTCTTTTGTTTTTCCTGGTAAATAATATACCAACAAACTTCAGCATTTCTATTTAGCATCCGTTTGGCTGCAGGAGAAAATCATTGGAACACTAGAAAACAGCTATATCTTACATGTCAAAATAACCAACTCACATATATATCCCCTTGTAAACCTTTAACCTTTTATTGCTCAAATTGCATCAAAATATTGCAGATCTTCCCTTTTTATTTTTGCCCGGTGTGGATAGATCTTATCTCATTATAGAATTGCTCAGATATCTGCAATAACAGACCTCGTGATTGTGTGATAGGATCAAATTACTTTTTTAACCTTTGCCATTAGCAAAAAGCTTTTATGGTTAGTGTTGATACTGAACTTTGAGTTGAGAAGTAAAATCCTGAAATTATGAGAGAAAATAAGTCGATTAAAAATAAAGACAAAAAATGTTTTTATATTTGTATTTTGACGCTCTAACTCAGAGATCAATTAAAAATTAAAAAAATTAAAAAAAAAAATTAGATAGTACTTGTATAACCTTATTTATAAATAAAAAATAAGAGAGTTTTGAACAGTTTGTGTTGTCCATGGTTTGCCTAGAGTTGAGATGACCTGATAGACAAAGTTAACTTGAACATTAACCATTCATTCGAAGAATGACAAACTAGCACAAAGGGACCCATTTGGCAGATTAATAATAAGATCGAATTGACGAAATGTTGTAATTACAGATTAATCTAATACGTTAGATTAACTCAAAAAATCAAAATATCTTTAATTATTTATCAGCAGTCTCTAACGGGGAGAGAAGATTACAATGTTCTTTGAACCTAAAAATACTCCAAATAGGGACCTAGGGAGCTTAATCTCACCTAAATCAGACGAGAACCAGATTCTTTACCCTGATAAGAGTAAGGTTGGGAACTAAAATTCGGGAACAGGAAGAGGATGGGGAAAGAAACAAATTCCCCGTTTCCGTCCATATATAATTAATAAATATATTTTTATATATCATAATTTTATAAATTATTAGTTTATTTTAGATTTTTATATCCCGTCCATTAATGTCGAAATTCTTTTTAAAAATCATCCCAAACATTCCTCGTTACCTGTTCTTTTCCTGTTTCAAGTTACTTTAAAAAAAAAAATCCTTAAATTCTCTTAAATCTTAAAAATTGGCAATTTCAAGTTCCTAAATATCTGCTTAGATTCTCATAGATGGACCGTAAGTTCTTTTCATGTATCAGATAAAAAGATAAAAAGACTTCACCAAAGAGAGAGTAAATTATCGATTGGATTGAACTAATGTAAAGAAACAGAACAAATAATAAATCAAATCAATTGTTTCTTAATTCCATAACGAATAATAGTATATGATTTGGCACTGCCTTGTTTAGAACACGGAATGGAATCGAGATAGATATGAATGTGGACAGAGACGACCATAGCACCAACGTAGTTTTGGGCTCTCATAATGCAATGGGTTGGTGCCGAGCTTACATATTGATGTAAATGTCGGGTACATCTGTTCATGCATCGATTGGTCATATAGGTTCGACTCTAGTTGAGTTTTAAACAAAACTAGATCCCTCACCCTCCCCACAACGTCGGGACTAATAATTTTTTATCAAATTTTATTTTTAATATATTATTATATAACATAAATATATTTTTATAATAATTTCTATGAGAGATTATTTTCAATAATTTAATATGCAATAAGTTTTATATAATTACTTTAGTGTGTAATTTAATTGGTGTATTATAATAATTTTATAAAATACCACATGTCAAATTTTCATGAAATAATGGTAATGCTATTTTAGTGATTTTATATGTAGTTAATTTTATATCTTATTAAATTTAATATATAATTTAGTAAGAGCATTATAGTAATTTTAGGTAATTATAATAAAATGGGTACTTTCATAACTATAGTAAGAAGAGCATTATAATAATTATAGCCAATCATGGTATGATTTTTTTTTGTAATTATGATAGGATGAACATTATAATAATTTTGATCAATTATGTTAGAAGGGTTATTTCTGCTAGTATGGTATGAAAAACATTATAATAATTTTGACTAATTATGAAATGAGGAGTATTATAGTAAATTTGGACACGTGTTAGCTATAATTAATTAATTAAAGGATATTATAGTAATTTTTTTTGGAGATTACTTTTAGTATATTGTATAGATTAAATTTTATTATAGTAATTTAATATATAGTTATGTTTTATGCAATTCTCATGAAGCAATAGTAAGCGTATTTAATAATTTAAAATGTAGTTAATTTTTTATTATGATAAAATTTAATATATAATTAATAGGGTATTATAATAATTTTTAAATAAAATGCACACGTCATTTCATAATTATGATAGATTGACCATTATAGTAATTTTAGTTAATTATAGTAAAAGAGATATTTTTCATAATTATGGTAAGAATAAATTTGACCAATTATAATAAGCACATTTTTGTAATTATGGTAAAAGGAACTAATAAGCAAAAAGGCAATATAATAATTTTCAAGAAGATTACTTTTAACTATAGTTGGTTAATTATGGTAAGAAGGATATTTTCGTAATTATAATAAGAAGGGTATTATAATAAGGAGAATTCTAAATGTACCCCCGTTTTTGCTCTACACACTCCCACATTTTTAAAAAAAATTTTACAAGTAAAATTTTTAAAATTTTTTTTTGCAAATTTTCAGATATTCATCATTTTCAAGAAATCAACATTTCTCAAAAATGAATTTTCGAGAAATCATAACACTTCTCAAAAATGCATTTTTGAGAAATCATAACACTTTTTGGAAATTCATTTTTAAGAAGCCGTAATACTTCTAGAAATATATTTTGAAAAGTGAAATTTTATAAAAAAATACAAAAAAGGAATGTTGTTAAAAGTATTTATAAATTAGTGTAATAAAAAATATAATTAAAATTAATAAATTTTAAAATTAATAAAAAATTACTTTTACTGTTTTGATTTTTAAGATGCATAACTTCCCAGAACATGATGACTATATGCTCACTGAGATTTTTTATAAAGTTTTAAAGAGTAGAAATAATAGTAAAAAATCACTATTACCATTTTCTCGACCTCATACTAATTTGAGAATTAGTGAAAAGGCTATTGAAAGAATTAGAACTAATTCAAAGTTAAAGATTTTTGATCAACATTGCATGCTTGTGAATAAAAAGATAATAATACTATTGATACTATATGATTTTGTCAAAATCTAATATGTTAATTAGAGAAACCCATCTTGATAAATAGATAGAGATAATTCTCCAAAAAGTTTAATTTAATTAAAATTATTATAAAATTTTAAAAATTGATAAAAGTTATTTATTATTCTTTCTTTAATAATGATTTTTTATTACACTTATTTACAAA